GCATTTAAACACACACTCCTTACCACCTCCAACCACAGGTGTACACACCTCCGTTGTCAGAAGTCAATAAATCTCAACGTGGGTTCACTCGACGTGGCTGAGTATTTGAACTTTTTGTTTGCGCCCCATCCCCTCCGTGCATTCTTCAACCCGCAGTCTATGGAGAGCTGCCGAAAGCAGTGTGGAAACCAAGGGAAGCGGCGCTCCAGTTTGTCCAGCAGTGATTCTGACAAAACCAAACCGCTAACCTCCCTCAAACGAACAGGTTCAAGTAAGTGTTTTCGGTCGGATTTCCCAATGGACTAACATTAATTAAACATGAAAGTATTTTTGCAAGTCGGTGTGAAAGGAGATCCTTTTGACAACTGTAACATCTTAACGTAAAACTTTTCAAAAATCATTTTTTTCCTTGCTCCTCATGGAAACGTACACAAAATGTGTCCCCCTTCATTCATTACACAATTCTTGCTGGACTTCCAGATGTTTTACTGATACTACATCTTAATCGTGCCTAACACAGGAACCCCAGACGGTGCTCTCTGGCGCTGACCAATCCTCTGTTTGTCATAAAATATAATGTCAGCCTCTATCTGGTTCAAAGTTCCCCCGTCATGTCTCAGTCTCTATCCAAAATCTCCGCTTGCCGCTCCCATGCGGGCCATTGTGTCCCTTGGCCGCTCTCCCACACAAAGAGGAGATGAGCATTCTGGGTTTTGCAACATGATCCTGCCGTTGTCCTTTCTTTCTCTCTCAGGCCTCTGTACCTACATTGTGACGCTTCAAAGAAGGAGTGAGCACGCTTAGAGGTTGACGGCTTCAGGATGTAACATGAGATTTATTAGCCACGTTAGAGTCGTTGTCTCGCCTCATGACCTTTACCTATGCACCGGTGTGTGTGTCGCTATGTGTCACATATGTCATCATCCCTTCATTGAATAGGACATAGAATGTGAGGGTTTTTGTTTCCTTGATTCGTCATTAATTAGCGTGAAAAGATAAACAAATGCTCTGTTTGAACTCTCCGCAGACTCTAACCAGTATGGAAGGTATGGGAAAACTCGAGCAGAGGAGGATGCGAAGCGCTACGTGAAAGAAAAAGAAGAGCTGGAAAAAGAGAAGGATGCCATTCGGAATACGCTCTCGAACCTCCGACAGGAGAAGCGAGAGCTGAAGGAACAGCTGCAAACGGCTTCTGGTAAGAAAGGAAAAAAAGAAAAAAGATCAAAAGAAAAGAAAATCTCTTTCTTTTTGGTCATCATATCCCCACAGCTCCTCACCTTTGCTTGAACTTCTATCTAGAAATCCTGCAAAGGCTTGCATGTCGAATGGGTCTGCTCTGTCTGACCTCCGTGAACCTAGATTATTTTGGCCTGACTGGGAACAGAATTTGCCTGCAGGGATAAATAAAACATCAATAACATGGCATTCCTCACCGCTTTATTATTTTCCTCAAGTATAATATTCAGTCCTATATTCTGATGCTGTGTCTAAATGTGGACACGATTCGCTGTATAGTGAACTATGAAGGGGTTACGCCATTTTGTACGGTCCAGGAACACAATGCACTCGGAAAAGCATTGAGCGTCGAGATCCATTCAAGAGATTGACGTAGACCACAATGGATTGCAAACATGGCACAAGAACGAATAGCAAAGCTTCTTCTTCTTATTCTTCTTCTTCTGTCTCTTGGCGGTTGGCAAACAACTTTTGGTGCGTTACCTCCACCTTCTGAAATAGAGTTTGGGTCTGCATCACACACAATCTCCTATTTCACCCTACTTCCTCTTCCCGAAACAGAAATTTAAAACTTAACTCAGACGAATTTCTCTGCAAAAATGTCTCCAGTATTCCAAGCTACTTTCTGATCTCTTCGCTCATTAATTAGTTATCGTGCTCTCAATTGTGCAGACTGCCACCTAGTGCACAAATATAATCAATGCGGTCTAATCAAGTAATCTGTGGTGATGACAAACATATGCGAGACAGGCGGGGCGTGTTTCCGTCAGTCATCAGTGATGGCCATCGGGAGAGGACCCCGGTTCGTGACGATTGTACTGGCAGATGAATATTCACCTCCGTCAGTGATTAGTCTGTTTTTTGGGTGGGTTTTGTCAGTCGTCATTCATCAGAAAATTGCAATGCCCACCTCTGGGCTTGTTCTGGTCAAAAAACACACTGTTCTGCATCAAAAAATAAACAAGCGGGGTGTGTGTGTGTGTGTGTGTGTGTGTGTGTGTGTGTGTGTGTTGTACGGTCCAGGAACACAATGCACTCGGAAAAGCATTGAGCGTCGAGATCCATTCAAGAGATTGACGTAGACCACAATGGATTGCAAACATGGCACAAGAACGAATAGCAAAGCTTCTTCTTCTTATTCTTCTTCTTCTGTCTCTTGGCGGTTGGCAAACAACTTTTGGTGCGTTACCTCCACCTTCTGAAATAGAGTTTGGGTCTGCATCACACACAATCTCCTATTTCACCCTACTTCCTCTTCCCGAAACAGAAATTTAAAACTTAACTCAGACGAATTTCTCTGCAAAAATGTCTCCAGTATTCCAAGCTACTTTCTGATCTCTTCGCTCATTAATTAGTTATCGTGCTCTCAATTGTGCAGACTGCCACCTAGTGCACAAATATAATCAATGCGGTCTAATCAAGTAATCTGTGGTGATGACAAACATATGCGAGACAGGCGGGGCGTGTTTCCGTCAGTCATCAGTGATGGCCATCGGGAGAGGACCCCGGTTCGTGACGATTGTACTGGCAGATGAATATTCACCTCCGTCAGTGATTAGTCTGTTTTTTGGGTGGGTTTTGTCAGTCGTCATTCATCAGAAAATTGCAATGCCCACCTCTGGGCTTGTTCTGGTCAAAAAACACACTGTTCTGCATCAAAAAATAAACAAGCGGGGTGTGTGTGTGTGTGTGTGTGTGTGTGTGTGTGTGTGTGTGTGTGTGTGTGTGTGTGTGTGTGTGTGTACAGAGAAGAGATGCGTCCTCTTGAACCAGCGTGTGTCCCAACTGGAAGAGGCTTGTCGGGCTAAGGAAGCAGCGCGAGTGGACCTGGAACTGCGACTGTCCCAAGTCAAAGAAAACCTGAAGAAAAGCCTGGCAGGTGGAGCCCTGGGTGCACCCGTGGAAACTGTCCCCCCTGCCAAGGTATTTGAAACGGAGGAATGTTGGTCTTTCCTCGCCCTCGCTTTCATGTACAATGATAGAATTTGTTGCTTTTCCACAGGGATCCAGAAAGAAGACTTACAATATATACAGCGATAGCTTACCAGTAAACTGTGCCTCGGAGATGCGCAAGAGACCTCCCTCTGTGTACGCTTCGTCTTCAGGAACTGTCATGCAGAAAGCAAAGGTAATTCTTTAGCTCACTTCCTGTATGCTTGCTTGCCTGAATGATGCAATGATTACAACCAATACAAGAGCTCTGATGATTTTTTTTTAATCAATCAAATAATGCCATTGTGCATTATTATTGTTCTGAATAAGTTTTTGATGCCATTGTGTGAGGCGAGTGTATCTTTCTGTCATGTCTCATTTTCTTGTTTTGTTATTGTTGTTGCCCTCTTCTCTTTTTGTAGGAATGGGAATCAAAGAAAAAAACTTAAAGGCAGCATCTTCAGACGTCCTTACAGTGAATGGAACTGATTACAGGATGTAATCGTCGCAAACTGCCATCCTGCTGAGGATAACTTCTCACCAGCATTCAGAAGCACAGACCTCCAACGATTCAATGTTGTACTGACAGAAAATAGCCACAAGGTGGAGGTACATCTTCTATAATGCTTTTGTACTTCAGCGCCCCAAAGGACTTTGACGTTTCAGAAATCCAAAGCCCGTCATTGCAATATTTTGCCTGAAATAACGTGGAAACTCCACTTGGTCAGCACAAATGCGATATGGAGGGTATTGGAATGTTGCAAAGCACAGTGCACTGTGAATGCATGTAAATGTAAGATTATCTTGGCTGGGGTGGCTATGTTTTTGGATGAGAAAAGACAAATGTGATGTGTCGTGATAAGATGATTGAAAGTCGATTAATTCACAATGTGCCTTTCAATTACCATTGTTTTTTTTTCCTTTTTATGACTACTGTTTTTCTCTGTCTTGAGCTTTGTGTGTAGTTCATGTCTGTGTTTTCATAAGGCTCCCGAGAGCTTGATTCTGCCATTTTTTAAAGGCCATGCTTTACTAGATGTGTTCTTCGTTTAGGATCTGAACACATCCTACATCAATTTCGACTTATCCTAGAGCGCAGGTGGTCTTTGCCATTGATAGGAGAGTCATTCATCAACAGACCTAATGCGAAAATGTAACTCACACCTGTCAAAGTGAGGAAGTCTTACCTTTATCTTTTACCTGCAAATCCTGTGGTTGAATTTTGCACTTTACGATTCTCTGACCTGGTTGTCTACAGACCCTTCAAGTCATTAAATGGATCCCATTTAAAAAGATACGCAATTTTCCTTTGTTTATGCGGTGTTGTTTTTCCACCTTTTTTTTTTTTCAATGTTTCATATTCCTGCCTGCTTATGCCCTTTAATGCAGCAGTATCAAAAATGATTTTGTTGTTGTTATGTTCACACAAATCAGAATTTGTTCAGCATTTGCTCGTCCTGAAATTAAAATGGCCTCAATGATCCACAACAAAACAGCACACCAGCTTGTCCTGCATCACTGTTTTATTATTCTAATGTTACATGCTGTGAAAGTAATTACAGAACATGGTCTGTCTGCTACAAACAGTGGATTTAAAAACACCAAAGAAAAGGCAGTCAGATGGAACACAGTCAAGCATGATGCGGCTGAAAGAGACATTTTCTATTTTCTTTTTTCTTTTTTTTTTTTTACTGCTAGTTGACTCATTCTTCTTTGATTTGTCAGTCAATGGGCAAATTCCAGGCTTGGTAGAATCATGTGATAATCATGCGTGATGTGATGTATGTCGACGTGGTTTCTAGGAGTGACAGCCGCTCTTTATTCTTTTGAAGCTTCACCGTTTGATTGAAAGTTGTTGTTTTTTTTTCACATATCACTTCTCAACCAAAAGCGTGTATGATGACTTCAGATCCAAGCGACTGGCCTGGGCTCTCCATCGGGATTGCAAAGCAGCTGCGGGGTGGTGAAACGAACTCAGTGGCAGCTTGCGAGCAGCTCTCAGAGAAAGAGATAATAAAGCCAGTAGAGAATATTGACGAAAAGGAATGCCGTGGGGAAAACGGTGCGGGCATGGCGATCGATGTTGTGTGGATTTTCCACGATGAAGATGGACGCTGCCCTCCTCGAAGCATCCTTCACTGACGACAGGCCGCAACCCTGGCCTGGTTTTTTCGCCTTGGCTACACCGGTGGCCTTTGTGTCACTGTTGCTTGACTGTTCGGTACGTTCCTCAGAGTGGGAGCTCACGTTGATAGAATTCTTCGGTTGGGTGGAGCTGACCATAGGGATGGAGCCGTTTCCACTGGACTCGTTGAACTCTCTCACAAGATCCTAAAACAAACAAAAAAAAGACTGTCGCTCTCAGCATGTGAGAATCACCCCCAATATATTTTTGCTGAGGTTTGAGCTTTGCCCACCCTGTGCAAGTCCTCTATGGTTTGGTGTTGCATGGTGTAGAAGTGAGCACACGCGTACTCCAACAGGGCACCAAAGATGAAGGTAAAGCAAATGCCCAGGTAGACATCTATGGCCTTAATGAAGCAGTTGGCATTCGGCAGGGAGGTGCGAGCACCCATCATCAGAGTCGTCATTGTCAGGACTGTAGTAACACCTATGAGCAGATCAGTTTCATGTCAGTGTAGCTCCATCGATCCACTTTCTATTACCATCGTCCTCATTCGGGTCACGGAACTTTGACTGTGAGGTTGGTTTAGTTGGTTGCCAGCCAATCGCAGCCCTGCTAGTTCTTATTACCTTTTCTATTCATCAGACTATAAGGTCTCCTGATTCAATTACCTTTCGTCCATGTAATTGAACTGCTACCTGGGTGCTTGTACGGTAGGTATTGATTCAAGAGTCTCCTATTTAGTGTTATCCTGTATTGTCGTGTTCATTTAGTAAGAAGAAGTGACCTTTGTAGTGCACAGCTCTGCGTTAACACATTACACATACATGTCCAAATAACTGTTAATCATGTTCCATTATACAGGGCGACAGTACAGTGGACTAGTGTTATCAGACACTTCAATCAAACTTACGGTGAGAAAACATTTTTTTTTTCCAGACTAATTTCTCTGAAAATCACAATCTATCTAACCCAAAGTGGATTACAAAACCAAATCTGATATTTCGATGAATAGATCCCACTCATGTCAGTTTTTGTCAATCACGTCCAGTATAGTTTTGAGCTATAGGATCCTTGTTTTCTTAAGACTGTGGAAGTGCAGCCTTTTGGCAACGGATGCGACATTAGTGTAGCAACAAAAATACAAAACAAAATCTCACACATCAAAAATCGACATCAACAATTGAGAGTTATATTGGACAGTAGATATTTTTATACTGCACTACGATACTTACACCTATTGTAAATATCTGTTAGAAAAGCTCAGAAACAAAATACATTTCTTGTGTGTAACGTCATCATTAATTTGTAACATAAAAGGCATCAATGAACAGAATCTTCAGGCATGCAAGCAAACGATTCCAAGGGTTCATATAACTGCGAACCGGTTCTCAAAAATAACCGCTTTTCGATTTCCATCCCTATATGTGGCGGTGATGAATCTGTTACTAACCAATGCAGGTCCTGGCTGGTACAGAGGACTGGCTGATCCAGAACGAGACCCAGGAGAGAACCACCAAGAGAGTAGAGGGAACATATGTTTCCAAGATAAAGAACAATACATTTCTGCGGAGTGCAAAATGCAGCACGAGCTTGGGGTAGTGTCCTGTGAATGAAGACACACACACACATATATATACACACATGAACCCTTTCGAAATGTATAATAATTCCCAAGTGTACTGCATGTAGCAGACGGACCAGTCTCGTACACAGCCTCCGACACAGACGTGTAGTAGCTCTCCACGCTATACTGAGCCAGCCGCAGTGTGTCCAGACCCCTCACTGAATCATTCCCTCTGGTCCAGAAAAAAACGACATCCTGCAGGTTGTAGCCCCCTGAATAGACACACACCACAACACGATTCTCTTTTCTGAGTCTTGTGTACTCCGAGCTGAGCGCAACCCTTTTGTAGTCAGTGTTATACTTACAAAAAGGATGATTGGAATGATGATGATGATATTGAGGAAGATGGTGATGATAGTGGCCAGAGTTGCGGTTACTCACAGCTTTCTAGCTGCAGGGTGCACACCTGTCTGTCCATGGGGTATTTGGTCAGGTCCATGTTGCAGGCGATGGTAGCTGTGATGCTGTTGAGACAACATTGGCCGGTTGGTGTGTACATGTTTTTTTTTTCTTTTTCAAGAAAGCGACAGGGTCTGTGTGAGAATATTCGAATTTATGTGCAGGGCATGTCATATGTAATCTTGTTTTGGTCCACGTTTAGCTTTCACTATTTAACGTAGATTAGTGATAGACTACAGTTCGAATTTACAGTGTATGGAACTCCAATGTAAACCGAGGATCTGTACTTTGGTTTTCATTCTAAAAAGCTGCAGTGATCTTGACAGCTAGATGAAGTAATTAACTTGGGCTGTTTTCAAAAACACAAAGGATTTAGTCAAAATATGTCTTTACTACAGGGACGTGCACACACTCTGATTGTATCCTGGATTAATTCATAAATAGAATAAAATAAATACATTTGAGGGGTTGTTTTTGTTTGTTTTTTTTATTTTATGTATGTTCCCAACAACAGGGGACCTTTGCAACTAAAGATTCCATGATGTGTGAATTGAACAAAAAGAAAAGCATTTCTCTCATTTGTTGTCCTTTTTTTTTTAAGTCAACCTCAGTTTTTCATGGAAAATGCAAATACAAGATTTATCAGGTATTTCGAAGACCGTATTTTCCGTACTATAAGGCGCACCTAAAAGCATTCAGTCGGTCACTTTTGGCTTAGATAGTGTAGCAGTTGCATGACCAACTGTGATTCTAATAAAACCTCAGAGCTTCTCCTGAGCACTTCATTTAGTAAATGTACAATAGCTCTTTTGGTGCATATGGCCGATGTGTTGTGTTTGTGAAGCAAATTGGAGGAATGTACCGAAGCGCATAGAGAACGGTCCCGTTGCTGAAGATACGTATGAGGCGGTTTTCCACCGTCACATCATGCAAGAAGGAGCGCTTTGAGTCAGGAATAAAGGTGTCGGGGATCCAAAGAAGAGACACTAGGCGTCCATCCACACTAACACTCTCGTTCCCTGGGAACACGAGTCTGGAATCGCGCCACCGTTGGCGTAGGAAGATAGTTGCAGTATAGTCCTGGAAAGAAACACCTTGGTGTATTAAATCAGCAACTGTTTTTTTTTTTGTTTGTTTTTTTTTTCATTGCCTCATTCACATGGAAGACACATCCCACTGAAAAATAATAGCATGAGTATTGTACCATATTGATTTCAGAGATGGCATCGATGCTTGCAATGTCAAGACTCATCCCAATTTCCACAGGACCCTCTGTCAGAGAGACACAAGAAGCTTTTTCAACCAATGAATGGATAATACCAACTGATCAAACTTGATTGTACCATTGAAATTGGGTCTTAGGTAACGGTTGTATCCTTTCATCAGCTTCTGAATGGTTGGCAGGAGCTGCGAGTCGTTCCATTCCCCCCAGCGATGGCTGGAGAACATGCAACCACTGGAGACCACAGACAGAAATGTAAAATCAATTTCAGCACTCTCCGTGGCCCAAATTGTGGAGCCGGGGTGTCTCACCCGAGCGTGAAGGTCAGGCACATGCTCAGCGGCGTAGGCAGTTGGACAAGCATTTTGGATCAGCAGCTGAGCAACGACAAATGTGAAGAAATACTCATTGTCCATAAATCATTGTACAGACTGTATTTACAGTAGGATGTCATATATTAAGTGGGAGGGTATTCTCTTCTTTGGAATTTGATGCGAAAAAGCTGTACATTTCCTTTTAACATTCACTAATTGTTTGGAAACTGAGAATAATAATTGTTGAAGCTTTGAAATTGGAATTCTTTCCTGTTCTTTCAACTTCAATTGCTCAACAGTACGGGGTCTTGTTGTTGTATTTTACAATTTCAATGGGAAACAGGGCTGGACTGCTGTTAGGCCAGTCTCGCACTTTTTTCTTACAAAGTCATGCTGTTGTAACACGTTCAGAATGTGGCTTGGCATTTTCTTGCTGATATACGCAGGGACGTCCCTGACAAAAACATGAAGTTAGGGTTTGGGGTTAGGGTTGGTGTTAAGGTTAGGGGTTAGGGTTATGGTTAGGGCTAATGTTTGGGTTAGGTTTAAGGGTTCGGGTTTGGGTTGGTGTTAGGGTTAGGCAGTTAGGGTTAGGGTTAGAATTACAGGGTTACAGTTTCAGTTCGTGGTTAGCGTTTGGGATTAGTATTAGGGGGTTCGGGTTTCGGTTAGGGTTAGTGTTAGGATTTTTGCCCAAACACTTTCATCAGACATCTGGTGAATGATTTTATTTTATTTTATTGTCATGTCGCGAGCTGCTAAAAAATGGATTACGAGTCGCAAACGGCCCCTGGAACCTAGTTTGTATTGCGTTGATCTACACTCGGTTGCTCCATGACTAGTGTCTTGTCCAGGGAAAACAAAACAACGAAACAAATTCCCATTACACTAATCCTGCATACTGTATGTAATTAGGACATGAAATACGTGAAGAGGAATGACTATTAAGTCGTTGCTTTGTTTACCTGTTTGCAAGTTTCACAGGACAGGGAAAGTGTCACCTGCTGATTCATGGAGCTGTTGCCTCATAAACCATGAAACCATTCACAAAGATAGTCCCATAACTAATTCTATTGCTAACTTATCAGGGATTCGCCTTTGTGTGATGAGTTATGCATGTCCCCTAAATGAATCTCCCTGTCACTAATAGACTTCATCCTCTCTCATAATAAAAATGGCAAAAGTTTTTTTTTTTGTTTTCCAGCAATTCCCAAATATGTGGTCCGGTTGCAGTCTTACTTAAGGGAAAGCTGTTCCATCGATGTATTATTCACGAAGTGGTGCCATTTTAAACGATGTTTATGGCAACAATGATTTCCCTTGCTAATGGGTGTTATGAGAGTGAAGACGGATGAGGTGTAATTTGTTACTCTGCAGTAAACTATGATAAATTCATGCCCACATTTTTTATACTGTTTTTGTTCCTCTGGTTTATCTTCATAGCTCTTTCTTTATGTTGCTCCCCTTTTTCCTCGAGATGCTTTTTACTCACTCAAATGCATAAAATACCCCATGTGCATGCATGTCTACCACTACGTGAATTTTTTTTTTTTTTTACACTAAACCAAGAAAGTTTCATCAATTGATTGATTGATTTTTTTTTCTCTTTTCTTACCTGTTTGTGTATGCACCGAAGATCTTCCGGATTTCTTTGTCCACCTGTTCTTCTTTGCCCTCCTTTCTTTTTTTCGTCTTCCAATTTTTTTCTGGAAAAGAGATTAGTCTTTTTAATCTCTTAGTTATGGTCGCATCCAAATGTCAGTCCATCAATGAAGCGCTCATTTGGTCCCTGCGTGCTGGTAATGTTGTTTGTTTGAGTGTCTGTGCATCTCCCCACATCTCTGCACAGCTGCCGTCATCTCCCAACAGAGCTGTTGTATTATAGCCCCCTCCTTCCTCCTTTCCCCTCTCTCTTTTACAACACATCCCTTTCACTCATGCCTCACTCACCTCCACTCTCAAATGAACATTAAGCGAAAGTACAAATGCACGTCCTTCAACCCCTATGACTGTTCTCTCTCACTCATCCTCACACACCCTCAACTTAATCTCAGTACACGCTTGAGCTCCTCCGCACCCTGACAATCACATCCTCCTGTACCTCCGATCTCATCTCATCCTCTCAAGCACGTCTCAACTCTAAATCTGCTCCCTTGCATCACTGTCACGATGTGAATGTTTCTATTTTGTCATGTTTCATAAAAGGGTTTGTAACACCAGTCCCTTACTCACAAAGATTTTGCAAAATAGTGACATCAGTCTGACCAGAGTACCTGTCAATAATCCCCAGTTTGCCTTGTACAGAATGCTGACCTGGGAGAAAATCGTGGCTAAATCTCTTTTTTTTAAATGACTGCGTTAGAGGCTACATATTCCGCAAGAAGGATCAAAGGGTAAGAGAAGAAAAGAGAAGGCACTGACTTTGATTCACAGCTAGGTGTATTGTGGAACTCGTAACGATGAAGTCTGATCGTTTTTCATCAGCCTGTCGTTGTTCAAGTCACTCTTTGTCACGTTTGTAGACAATATAGTTGCTTTTTTTGGGCCACATGGGAACTATGTTAGTGCTATTTTGCTGCCAAGGTTGCTGTCCTCCAACATCACAGATTGATGATGTACTTTGTTTATCAGAGCACAGGTGAGTTTCATGTTGTCTTGGGTCCTGTGAAATCACTGTTTGAGGCATCTGCAAGTAAGCAGACACAGAATAGATTTTTGGTGGAGGAAGGAAATTACATTATAAATTCTCCAACCAACTGCTCATAGTCACACACCTAACTTTTTTTTTTTTTTTTTTTTGTAGCATGATGATCAAGCTGGCTGTTTGCACTTCTCGATGAACTCCTTGTTTTCCTCCTCACAGTAATTGTGCCACTGACTTCAAGGATCTCAGTGAGTCACATTTTCAGATATTTTCCTTCTTCAGTGTTCTCTGCTGTTTTATTTTGCAAAGAGTCTGTGCACTTTTGCGAAGGAAGCACGAAATCTCTTTGGAATGAGAAACAACTTAGTACATAATGCTTGGAGAAATGGAGAGCTTGTATGCCTGACAATTTGACAGCCGAATACTGTTTATTTCGGTAGGAGGAGGGGATGTATTTGTGTTACTAGTTTGTGAATAATTATGGTCTAAGCAGAGACGTCAGCTAGGCAGATACGTCACTGTGTGTGCGTGTGTGTGTGTGCGTATGTGTGTGTGTGTGTGTGTGTGTGTGTGTGTGTGTGTGTGTGCGTGCGTGCGAGTGCCAGCAAGTATATTTCAATAGATTTTATTTTCTCACTTTGACATCTTTGTCAGAGTGTTTCACCGTCCCATAGATCACTTGTTATCTTAAATCTTTTCCATCTTCATATGATTTATGCCTCCTTCTTTTGGTTTCCTCATTTGGTGGTTGTATATTCCTAAGTACCATGATTGAATCATATTAATTCTATACTCATTTGCAATAGACCCCGACTCAAATTCGAGATACAGTCAAAATCTAACACCCAGACACAATTAAAGCGGTGCCAAGGTGAATGGAGCTGAGATGATCATAGACTTTCTCTCTCTCTCTCTCTCTCTCTCTCTCTCTGTCTCTCTCTCTCTCTCTCTCTCTCTCTCTCTCTCTCTCTCTCTCGGACTATGTATGTATGTCTCTAGGATGAATAAGCGATGATGAGGTCACTGCATTTCACATAACATTGCCTTCATCTTTGCATTAGCACCAGTGAAGGGAAACATTCCTGCCCACGCACTGGCCCGGTGATTTGCCATTATGTGACAAATGAAAAGGCCATAGGATGTAGTGCACGGGACAGGGATGAATATCTCTTAAATGACTGTGACGGTTACCATGTCCAGAAGTAACATGTACAGTATTGTGGTGTCGCCATTTCCTCTTAACATTCTTTGTGTGATCAGTTGTTTGTCTGTCATTGAAAAAACACTGGCACGGTGAGCAACTGGTTAGCACGTCCGTCTCACAGTGTAGAGGTGCAGAGTTTGATTCCGGTCCCAGGCCTCCCCGTGTACATTTGCTCGTTCTCCCCGTGCACAAAATCGTCCACAAAAAACATTCAACATGTTGCATGGAAAATGTCGCCATCATGTCATAGAGTTCAGATATATGTCCATTCCCTTGTCCATTTTCTACTGCTTATCCTGATAAGGGTTATTGATGAGCTGAAGTCAATCCCCGATGATTTTTGGAAGAAGAGTCAATTCCAGGGTACATATTGGAATGTGGAATGAAACCAAAGTACCAAAAACAAAAAAAGGTAAGAACATTTTCAACATGACCTCTGCTTTTTAATTACCCCGACCAAAATCGGGAGTGAAATTTGCAGCACTGGCAATAATCTGACTCCCTCCTACCTACCTGAACTACCTACCAAACACCTCACCATCATTCCAGTCCCACTGAAACCTGGAATTTCTGGATTGAATGACTACAGGCCTGTCAGTCTGGCATCTTTTGTCATTATGTTTTTTGAACGCATTGTGTTGGACCACCTGAAGAGTTGGTATTTGAAACCTGGACCTCTGAACTGAGAGGCCAATGTGCTCAGTCGGTATTTTAATACACCTCTTAATAGTGCCATCACATCAGGAAACAACCCCCCCCCATCCATCCATCCATTTTCCCATCCGCTGGGAATTCCAGGCCCTCGGGACCTCAAGTGGCAAGCCAAAATCAACTCTATCAGCAAAACGGCTCAAAAAGGACTCCACATTTGTGCCTCAGACCAAGACGAAGAAATAGACTATATGGCTGTCTCCTTGTGTTTCATTTTACACTAACATAACACCGGACCATCTACAAATCACATATATTAAGCTCACTCCTGTAGTGATTGATTTTAAGCTACGCTGCCCCTTTATTAAATCACTCATCTACTGAAAGTCACTGTTTTCAGAAACAAGATTTGTGGAGATGTTAATCTTTATCTTCAGTGGCATGCGGATAAATCAAAATGTCGCTGGTGCAATGTGATAAAGCAAGAACTGTTTGAGTGAGTGATCGCCCCAGTTAATTTGTTTTCATGAGAGAATCCCCTTTACCAGATAATAATCTGTTCATGGGTCAAACTTGGCTCTTGTCGCGCCTGCATATTCAGGGTTCGGCTATTTCAAGTTCATCCATTCGTAAATGTTTTATGGAACAACAACAGCAGAAAATCCCGCCTCGGTAACAGGTGGCAAAAAGTTAAAATTGCAACATCTGTGTTTATCTATGACATCACGCACAGGGTTGCACACTAATGTTTCCTTACAGTACAGTCATGGTGTGTATCAATGGAAATAGCTTGCATGAACATAGCACTTAATTACGAAAAGGATCTGCACTTCACCTTCCACACTGCAGTGTCCGTTGAGCGGTATTTCTCTTTCACTGTTGTTAATTTAGTCGCACATTCTGACATCCAAAGCAGCTGTGCCATTCTGTCATTAAATGGCTCAATTTGGCGCGTTGTTTGGAGTCCAGGTTTGTGTTGAAACACCAGCCTGGCTTTCAGTGGTTGGTTCGGCATCGTCACTATGAGCTGGGTTTTCCCCCGAAAATTTACTAAGCCTGGTGTAAGAGAAGCTGACCGGCTTCATAATAGATATTTCATTTTCGGCAGTGTACTGTGTATACATTATTTATTGGTAGGCCTGTCATGATAACATATTTTTCTGTGGACGATATATTTACCCAGAAACAAACATGATAAATGATATTACTGTTTGTTTTTCTTGTTTTTTTTAATGCCACTGATAAATTGATGATGTTACAGAAAAAAATATTTAAAGTAGATTTTCCTTAAGTGTAATTATCTTTCAGTTATCAAGGTTAAGGACCATGTGTATTGAAATGTAAAGCCTGGCTCTTTGAATTACTGTTCATTTACATATATGTTAATGTTTTTAACCCTACAGCAGCTGACATCTACTTTGAGAGTTTTCCTCTGACCTCTTTGTAAAGTATTAAGAAGTCTAGACACCTTCTTGTTCACATGGGCCCTGTGTGTATTCAGGTAATGGTGGACAGCCCAAAAAAAGCCTCCTGTTCGACTTAAATGTCTACAATTCAAGTCAAAGGGAAAGTTTACTTTTGATAACTGAAATTCTATTTTGCCCTTCCCCAAGCTTAGGTGTGGGACTGACTACTTTGATTTTGAGCCAACCATTCAGGATTCAAAAGTTCAGCAGCAATTGGATGGAACACTCCGTGAGTAATTCCGTCAGTACGTATGTGTATTGGGATAGTTCCATGAGCAATGGTACATGACGAAATTCTATAAGCGTGTTTGCCACAAGGGGAAGCGTTAGCAGCACTGTGATGCGGCGTGCAAGTAGAAAGATAAACACTATAGGAGAGAGACCGCTACCTGCAACAGCCTGTACTTTCCTTTCCCATTTTGTTGCCAAAAAGCACTCACCTTCTGTTCCTCTTTCCATGAGTTGGATCTGTTTAGAACGAGGACATTATGCTCTCCATTTGTTATTGTACTTTGTCAGACATTTTTTTTAAAACTTGAATCATAAGCTCACTAAATGCGCGCTGGAGTTAATCAGAATGTTCATAAGCCGCACACCCTGAATGCTAACAAATGTCATAATCGTCCATTGTTTAAATGGGCCCATTGATTGCCTCATTAAAAAACACAGCATGGATATAGAAGTGGTTTGCAACAACCGCCCCCCGACTCTTTTTTTTCCATTCATGTTAATGGTCCACAGGTTCACATTCAACTCACATCTGATGGAGGAGTTTCAGCAATCGCATCTAATCAAAGTGAGTGCAGTGTTCATCCCACTCTCGCTGCTCCAGTCTGCTTTTATCAAGCTGCTGAAGTGTGAATCCATCAACTGGCCCGGTGGCTCCCGCGGGATCCTGCACAGTGTCAGCTCACCTAATCAACCATAACCGTGGCAAGTAACAGGGAAAAGGGACAAATCAATGCATCTGCTTTACCTTCTCTTTGACCCCCATCAGCTTTTGCTCTCATTTCACATCTCTCACGTTCTATAAAAATTAGTTTTCCGCCTCATTATTTCACCATCTCTTCTCTACCCGCCTCGAGCCAGTAAAAGTCGTGTCCCTTTTGCCTCTCTGCTTGAAATTCAGATGAGCTGAGTGTCAGGAGTACTTATTGTCCAGAACAGCTCATTCATTCCATTGGATGGAAGTGACGACAACAGGGAATATGTTAGCATGTCACGCTCTGAAGGGCTCCTGTTCCTCAGGAGGAAAAAAATGGCTACTGTTGCCTTAACTAACATTTCCATTGTCTTAGAGCAAGGGTAGGGACCTCCGGTTCCTTGAGAGCCATATCCTGCCTGTTTTCGATCCCTCCCGACTCCAACACACCTGATTTAATTGATCAACTCATCAGCAAGCTCTGTAGAGGCCTGAAACGATCATGAATAATTGAAGTTCCCTACCCCTGTATTAGAGAATTCTATCAGTCATCGCGATCGTGGATAAATGTGACAAGAAAACTATCAGACTGCGTAATATGAAACGTTTGTTGATGTAAAGTTTCGTATGGTAATATTAGGACATGGGGTTTTATCCTACAAAGTACATTGCGGCGGATGAATCACATAGACTGTGACAGAAGAACCCAAGAGACATTGCCACATGCATTATGTACAGTATATTTAGGAGATGTGCATTGTTTTCATAACCATGGAGGGAGGACCATGCATAAGAAACAAGAAATAAATGACATGTAAAATTGTGTACATTTTCAAGGATAGAATATCAATATCATGGAACGGTTGTGTTATTGCAACATAATTCTTGTGTTTACTTTTTGTGCTTATCCCGAACACTTTTCCTCACTTGCTTCGAATGGAATCTGAAATTCTATTGAGTCACTTCGGTGATATCATACAGTAAGCATCCTGAGGTGTGATCCACCCATCCATTCATCCATCCATCCATCCATTATCTGATCCACTTATCCTCACGAGGGTCACGGGCATGCTCAGCCAATCGCAGGCTACACATGGTAGACAAACAACCATTTGCGCTCACCATCACACTTTAGGACAATCTTACTTTTCATTTTTTGGAATATGGGAGGAAACCGGAGTACCCGCAGAAAACCCACACAGGCACGGGGAGAACAAGAAAATTCCATAAAGGAAGACCGGGGCCGGATTCGAAACCATGAACTCTGCATTGTGATGCAGACGTGCTAACTTGTCGAGCATTATGCCACCTTGTTGCAAAACAATACAATAAAAAAACAGAACGGAGTATTTCTTTACATTCCCAACTTATAATATCATCGGCTATCGTCTCTCTATAAGACAATCATAATGGAATTATTGTTTAAAATGAAAAATAAACAGGTGGTTAACTTACATTTAAGTGCATTTTGCATACTCATAAAATATGTCTTCATCAACAACAACTGGAAAAAAAATATGTAACATCGTTTTCCAATTTGATTCCTTCATGTGGACTTGACGTTAAGGCAAAAGTGAAGCAGGTTTGTCTGAACTGTCCACCGGGAGCAATTTGGCCCTCTCTGTGTCTGCATGAGAGGACCAGTCAAAAGAGATCTGCTGGACTGCTGATAACTGTCGAGGGATTTTTCCTGCAGCAAATTCCGGAATAGACGCAGAGACTCCTCCACCCACACATATGCGCATTTACATATCCTATCTTTCCTGCTTTTCCACAGTACCAAGGACACCGATTTGTATGCACCAGTTAATGTACTCAGCAATTGATGAAAAGCCCAGTGGAAAATGGAAGTTTCCGACGACCAGTCTGGCCAGCAAACACGAGTGTGACGTTGCAGGCAAAATTATTCAGGCACATGGTTGCTACTTTGGTGTGTAACAATCTTTGGGAGTTTCATGATGAATGGCTGGACACCTCAACAAATTGGCAGTCTCTCGCCTACTCCCACAGCTGTGTGCATGATGCAAATTTCCTGTGTGAGGCATTAGCCCATCTCCATCTGCACATGGTCTTTCTTTTCAGGAATCAAGCCCTGTTTTGCTCCTTAACAGCCAAGCAATATATTGTTTGATCAGATTATTGCGATGCAACAGCCAAGCAATATATTGTTTGATCAGATTATTGCCAATACGCTGCAAGAGTCAACAAAGTGTTTGAATCCGCGAGCTGCTTCATGGGCACTTATGAATGCAAAGGGCTGCCAGTTTGATCAAACTTCAGAAATTTTGCTGAGGACTGAATTTGAGCGGGCTGAACAGCTTGAAGCTGCTCTGCATTTTGGGTGTGTTTTATGTGCTGAATTTGAAGTAATAAACATTATTTTCACAACATTTCTGAACTCTACAATGAAAACAAGATGGTAATTGAGAAAAAGAGATCACGTTGGTAGTGGCCTGGATGGCTTTAGAGTGTAACACTGCTAAATTTTGAAATACAGATTGGGGTTCACGTCCTGGTCAAGGTGAATGGCAGGCATAGCTCGAGGATTTTTTTTTTCTCTCCTGGGACGAAAGGGGGGCGGGGGGGGCTTGACTGAAACCTACAGGGGGTGACACATTATATTTTTTTACAATGGCGAATAAAATGCTGGCGAGCCTTAATTAGGATGACACAGATTACGATAGCCCCCTCATAGAGTGTAGCACTATCCCTGATGAATGCTGACATCGAGTTGGGCCCCTCGACCAGACCGTTTATTCGAGGGGTTACCTAACGTTTTGAAGCTGAGAACTATTTCTTGGATGCTGATTAACACTAAGCCTTTTTACTTCTAAAATTACACATTTGTTCAAATTACCTTCAATGATGTTTTCAGAAATTGCTGATGATGTAGTGGTACACTCGCATGACTTGAGTGCAGGCAGACTGGGATCGGTTCCCACTTCGTGACGGGGTGGATGTGGGTGTGAATAGGTCATTTGTCTCTGTATGATCCCTTTGACTGACTGGCGACCAGTTCAGGGTGTGTAGTCTGCCTTCTGCTTGAAGTCAGCTGGGATGGACTCCAGCAACTCCCCCGCGACCCTGTTCAGGATGAGTGGTGTTGAAAATGGATGGATAATTTGTAAATAATAATAAATTATTTTATTTATGTGATTGAGGAGGGATGGATGGAGGGTTAGAGACAACAAGATTTAAAAAAATAATAATCTGGTGATAATTTGTAAATAATAATAAATTATTTTATTTATATGATTGTGGAGGGATGGAGGGATGGATGGAGGGTCAGAGACTACAAGATTTTTAAAAATAATAATCTGGTATCAGCACTTGTGCTCAGTTTGATTTGATGAAACAGCGGCCTCTGCTGCCTCAAAATGTACCTACATGGTTCATTGTGTTTGCACACGTTGCGTGTCAGCGACACTGGTCCACCCTGTGTTCAGAATTGAGAAGATTGACGTTAATAAGTTAAACACGACCAAATTAAAATGGTGGTAAAAGGTTGAATTCTAGTGCAATAAATCTTATGTGTTCTACAATTCAGCCTTTACCTGCTCAGCCCAAATTAGAAGATGCAAAAAAAAAAAAAAAATGTTGAGGGACCATAATTCCCTTTCGTCATTACTTTCCTGACTTTGACAAATGTTAGCAACATGTACAGCGAACCAAGATGTGTTTTGTGTGATTCGTATTTAGAGCTCAATTGCTCACCTAAGTGTTTTCAACAACTCGCTTGTAGGTTTGAATATCAGTTTTGACAGCTATTAATCATATGTATCAGTCCAATGATGGACAGGTGATCTGTCTCCGCTCTGGGATGACACACTTTTTGTGCTAAGTCCTCGCGGACAGGCTAAAGTGGGAAAAATGGCTCGAGTGATTCACAGTGGGGACAGCACAACAATCCAAGCGTCTCCTTCCCATGTTTGCTAAGTGCTTATATTAAGTTTATGAGCTCTCACCTGCAGTCACCAGGTATACCCCCACAAGGACCAGATGAGTAGCCAACATGCCTGCTCCAAAAATAGCGTGTGATTTCCTTGGAATGTTTCGGGAATGACCGGTCTTTCGTTCCATCTCACAATTGTTCAATGCCGAGGAATCCATTGACATTCAAAATTGCGAGCAAACTTGGTTTGGATAGGCTTTGGAAAATTCCAGCCTGGCCTAGCGTCTTCCGTTGCAGCTTTCAAAATGCTTCTGTTGTTTTCTTTGCTCTGCCCGTTGAATGTCTTTTACTTCGTATACCAGCAGTTTCTTTCTCCCTCTTAATGGTTAATAACCAATGATTGTGCAATGGCACAATACTGTAAATGTTCCCTCTTCTCTAGGCTGCTCTGTTTTTTTTATTTTTTTTTAATGTTGCTTGCACCTCCAACTAATAGAAAAAGTCGTCTTCACAGGCAAAACCCATATCTGAAACTAAGTGTCAATGTTTGGCACAATTTATTGTTTGAGTAATTGCTGTTATAGGACACACAGAGTCAATTTAGCACACCTGTCCCTCCACTACTTTGAAAATAACGGCGGAAATGTTGATTTCTTGTCTCATATTCATTTCTGAATTTCAAGCCCAAATGTTTTTTATCTTGAGAAAAAAAAAAAGAGGACTTGGCAGGTATGTTCTGGGTTTACATGCGTTTGGACTATGGTAGGAAGCTTTTGCAGATAACTTTAAAAACTTTATTTCTTGGGGGGTTCCGCACTTATTTGAAAATTAATTATTCTTTTCTGAAATATAATTCCAAGTGCATGTCCATCACAATTTTAGAGGAAACGTGAACTTCAGCATCACGCGTATGAGGATGTTGAATTTCACCTTCGCTCCTAAATTTGTGATGGACACGTACCACAAGGTAGATTTAAAACTCAAATGAAAATGAAAGACATTGCTTGCAATATACTGTACAGTATTTAGTCTTCAGCTCAGAAGGATTCCCACTTCTGGTGGAGTTCCCTCTCCCTCCCTCTCTGCAAGCCCTCTTCATATCACCATGTTTACTGCCTGTTGACATGGAAAATATTTTAGGGTGAAATAGCAATGATTCATATATACACAGCCTCTCTCTGTGCTCCTGTTTGTCTTTAAACTTCACTTTTCCACAAATCGTGTATATAAGCCATGTTTAGGAAGGGGAGAACACTCATAGCCTTACTCTACAAGATCTGATGTGGATGGATGTTACTCAGAGGACGCTACATTTTTGGAACACTGTCTGGAAAGGTTTTCGGACTCTGCCTTAACTGGAATATGGTTTGGGACTAAGTTGATTTGTCATGGTTTATGGAATTTGTCTATTTCGTAGACCGTATCCTGAATGCTGTTGTCAGGAATGTTTTTTTTGTTTTTGTTTTTTTTTTTAACTAAAAGATATGGATTGGGTTAATTTAATGCATTCAGATTCAAGCTGTGGTTGAGGACATTCATATTTTCTGTTGACCTTTAAAGGACACAAAATTTGTGAACTAATGGCAAGGTATTTGGTGTGTTTACCACCTGCTTACGTGTGTCTGGAGTGTGTGTGTGTGTTTACACATAACAGTAAGCTGGTAAATCCTAAACCCACTGCTGGAGCACAGAGCATGACCACATTTCTCCAGGCTTGACGTTCTCCCCTGCCGTTTACAAAACAGCCTTTATAGAGCGTGGCTGTTTAAGTAAAAACAGGAGGTGCACGTGTGTCTGTTTTGGGTTCATGTGGTACCAGGACATTTAGCATTTGAATTCAGATTGTATTGAAGTGAAGGAATAACTTTGCTCACATTAATTTCAACAAACTCCACTACCTGTCTGCATTTACAACCTCCACCAGAAAATGATTTTAATGCTGTGAGAGTGCAAGGACGTGCTTTTAATGCTTTCTTGCGCTGCAGCTTGGAGATAATCGCTCTTCTCTCAGTTTATTATATCAACATCTTATACACACACACACACACACACACACACACACACACACACACACACACAAACAACACATGTGTGGGCGAATTCCGTTACTTCGACAGGTGTGTGTGAGACTGCCACGAGACAGGCAGCAGGTGGGGGAGAGGATTTATTAGATTTTAATCGCATTACTGTATTGAGCAATAATTCCACAGCCTAAGGCAAAGGAAGGTGCGTGTGATGGATGCCGCATGGGACATCCCTCAGTCATTATGTCTGCATATTTACAGTCATTTTAATGTTTGTTTCATATTTATTCTATTTAGTAAATGGGATTTCCCCGGTTAAGAATGTGTTCAAATGAAGTCAACTTGATACCAAAGGCCCTATTTTCATAGACACACGTGGACTTGGTGTTATATCTGCCGCATCTTCATTTCATTTTGTTTTGGGGCAAGTTTATTTTACCATGTTTGGGACTTTGACAGCCCATGCTGCACCTGACCAGGTGCTCCGTCAGGTGCGTAGCCAGACATTCTTCAGTGGGGTGGCCAGGTGGCACAACACCTCAGTGAGGGGTGGCAAGCAACATAAGTGCAATTAGGGAATTAAAGGCAATTACCAAATGCCCCCTTCACAGCAGACAACTTTAAATCCTCTGTAAGTGGTGATCTTCCAATTCCTTATAAATGTACTTGCCTAGACTCGAGCGAGTCGGTTATTTTTAATCCATGTGGTTTGCGCGCCTCACCTACGCTGAAGGGAATGAGAGGAGCTGTGTCGATTGGCTGGGAAGTAAATCGGCTGTGTTTACTCCCACATCGGCGCAAATGCCCATTTATCATTTCCGAAAATACCAAAAGAAAGAAAACTGTACCTATGTGCAGTTAGAACACACAAAAATAGGGCCCCATATTTGTCAGGGAGCACAAAGTAAATTATTTTGCTTGATGTTGCTCAATCAAAAGTGACTCCCCCTGACCTTGTCATCCCTTTCTATGGTGTGATTAACAATTTTGCATTTTTCATTTGAAGGTCCAAATGAAACTTGAGGATGTGCTGATAACAAAGTCTCATGGATAAGACCATCTGTACAGTAATAAATAAATAAATAACGGATGGCCAGGTGGCACAACACCTCAGTGAGGGGTGGCAAGCAACATAAGTGCAATTAGGGAATTAAAGGCAATTACCAAATGCCCCCTTCACAGCAGACAACTTTAAATCCTCTGTAAGTGGTGATCTTCCAATTCCTTATAAATGTACTTGCCTAGACTCGAGCGAGTCGGTTATTTTTAATCCATGTGGTTTGCGCGCCTCACCTACGCTGAAGGGAATGAGAGGAGCTGTGTCGATTGGCTGGGAAGTAAATCGGCTGTGTTTACTCCCACATCGGCGCAAATGCCCATTTATCATTTCCGAAAATACCAAAAGAAAGAAAACTGTACCTATGTGCAGTTAGAACACACAAAAATAGGGCCCCATATTTTTCAGGGAGCACAAAGTAAATTATTTTGCTTGACGTTGCTCAATCAAAAGTGACTCCCTCTGACCTTGTCATCCCTTTCTATGGTGTGATTAACCGTTTTGCATTTTTTATTTGAAGGTGCAAATGAGACTCCAGGATGTGCTGATCACGAAGTCTCATGGATAAGACCATCTGTACAGTAATAAATAAATAAATAAATAAAATTTGGATCCAGATACATTTTTTTAAGTAGACGTATTGTCATGCAGCCCCTTGAGGAAATAAAATTAAGTAAAGTCAAGAAAAACTTTTTTCTGTGGATTTGTGATATCACATTGACAGTGTTTACATGCCATCAATATTAAGGTCAGAATTCCGGTTTCTGAAACATTCGGGACAACCCATCATACGACATGCGTGAGTGAGTGGAGAGAGTTATTCCTGTATACATGACATTTGGAATATCACGATTTAAAGGTGGAAGCACTAAATAAAGTGTGGACGACAAAAAAAGAAAAGTACAAAAAAAAAACCAGTCGGGCTGAATACACTATTCAACTTTTGGGATGGGAAAGCAACATCTTTGAATAGTAGCTCCATGATGTTGATTATAGGTGAAGAGGAACAATTTGCATATGAATTTGGCAAGGTCGCACCCCCACCCCCACCCCACCCCCAAATGAGTGTGAGTGAAGCATGATATTATGCAAGGTTAAAAGTAAATTCATATTTTGGATTTATTTGAATGACACCTCATATCTTACTCTGAAATCAGTCCATAATGCAAATTTTCTTACGCTGATCTTTTGACCTTGCAACCACGCACAATCTGCATTGTCATTAATGCCATAAATTCTGGTTATCCACATCTTTTTCTCTTCCTCTCTCTCTCTGTCTTCCTTCATTATTTGTTCTTTCTTTTTCATTCTGTGTTTGGTGTAAATGAATGTCATGCTGCCTCTGTTTCAGGGTAAATAAAGGCCTCGGGCTGACATTTATCAGTGGGTAATTTACTGTATGTTAGTATGTTCAGGAGTGTCAGACAAAGGTACACAATAGTACCCATCCATACAACTTGACCACAGTAAATGAGCAAATCACAAGTTCCAAAGTACATTATGAAATGTTTACTATATCATGACATGAGTTTACTAAAATGGAACCAATGTAATTTGTGTTCATCTTAAATGTACATAAAGGGCACAAATACAAACTAATGATAATAAAACCTTTGTTTTCAACTGTTTTCTTGCATTTTCATTGTTGAAGTAGAAGACTGCAGCATATTGGTGACAGTTAACATGACCCATATTGATATCGATAAAACTGTGTTTAGTTAGCAGTCAGTTCCCACTCCAGCATCGATGATGCTTGTGACCGTTGAATCGGGCTGCATCCAGTCAGCAGTACATTCCGATGTGCCGGGACTGTTTGGTTGTTGAGTCGGGGGAGGAGAGGTAGCATGGGAATGAGGATTTTTATCACTTCGGTGAATCTCCTCAACAATTTATCACACAAAGATCAGGTTTCACTAACCCGCTGCTTCTATTGGTCATCACTTTCACTTGCGGGAGCTTCTTCGATGACTTTTTTCTTGATAAATCTTGTGTTCTACTTTTGGTTCTTGTTCTTTTTAGGTTTCTGTTAATAAATAAAAACTGTTTATTTGATTTAAATAAGTGGCATATGCAGCATGTCAAAAGTATTTTATTCATATCAAAAAGACAACATAGCATTTATGTAAAAACAACCGAGTTATGAAAAGGATTAAGATTAAAAGACACATACACGTATTTACAAAGAATATTTTCAAGACGTTGGAAAATCACCACATCAGATTTAGGGGACAGCAAAGCAAAAATGGTTCTCATGAATATAATATGTAGACAAAGGTGTAATTTAACCGCTCATCTAAACTGCTGTCTGGACGTTGTGTTTGTGTGATACCATCAAGGAATCACAGACAGTAAGCGGAACAGACTGATGTCAGCAGATCAGATCTCAGATCAGTGAAAAATGAGTCAGCTCTGAGAGGGACCAGCTTTGGTTGGGATAATAGCTGACTCTGGATTTGATAGTTTCAGACAGTTTCAGCTCTTTGCTGCTGACTCAGATGTTTCTGTGGGAATCTAAGGTGTTTCATTCTGTTGTCACACGCTTTTGTGACCTCAACTGTCTCTGTCAGCGCAAACATGGTTAAGTTGTGTTTGTGCGTGTGCGTGTGTGTGTGCGTGTGTGTGTGCGCGTTTGTGTTTGCCTCTCAAAGTGACAACTAATTTCTACTGCAAAAGAAAACTAAATTCTGCGAAAAATCTGGTCTTTACAATCAGTTCAATTAGTGTTAATTTAAACCTCAGTGCCCTCACGTTGATAGATGATTCCTGTTGAGCCCGGCGGGGGATAGAAGTGTCCACTGGACGCACTGTAGTGGCTGAGGATGGGGCTAGTGTACCCTAGTGAAGAGTGGGTGGGCGAAGAGGAGAGCATAGGGGTCGTTTGCACCGGAGGAAGCCACTCTCGGCCAGCAGAATTTGGGGAGTAGCTATTATAATTTGCAGCCTGTGGAAGCCTATGTGGCCCATCGAGAGGGAGGTTGACCTGCATGGGTCTGCTCAATGCATCACCTCCCACATCACCGGCTGATCCACTGGACACTCCAGACATCTCAGAAAGGAAGCTGCTCAGACAAGGTGTAGTACTGGATGATGATGGCGAGGGAATTCTGTCCGGCGTCTGGGAGATGCTCAGGGAAGAGTTGGCCGAGGGTTTGGGGCTGCCCCTTTCACTTTCACCTGACTCGGGGGCTCCTGAACTACCATCGACCCCAGAGAGGGAGTCAGACTTCCTCTTCCTTTTGCGGCGGAAGTTTCCATTGTCGAACATCTTTTCACAGTTTGGATCGAGTGTCCAGTAGTTGCCCTTGCCTGTTAGGTGAGATTTAGAAAAAAAATGTAAACAATACAGAATGTACAATAATAATTAAAAAAAAACACACACACACATTTGTTAGACAGAGAAATAAATTCAAGCTATTCTGAAAATATTACCTGGATCGTCCTCATCTCTTGGTACTTTTTTGAAGCAGTCATTTAGTGACAGGTTGTGTCTGATGGAATTCTGCCATCCTGCTTTACTCTTGTTGTAGAAAGGGAAGTTGTCTGCGACATACTGATAGATCTGACTCAGGGTCAACCGCCGGTCAGGTGCTCCGTGGATAGCCATGGCGATGAGAGCCGAGTAAGAATAAGGAGGCCTCACTAGCTTCATCAAGTCCTCTTGTGAGGGGAGGGAAAACCAGCTCAACTCCCCTCCTGGGCCGCCTGTTCCGGCCGAGCCCAGGTAAGGCCTCTGCATGCCGTAGTGCTGCGGGACAAAGGGAGGTCCCGGGTTCCCGGGTGGACCGTTGGCAGTCAGGTATGATGGTGTGTTGAGCCCAGAGCTGTTGAACCAAAGGTAAGGGTTTGGGGACGTGGTGCTGAAGTCACCCAGCTCATAGGAGGTCGGTGTGGTGCGCTGAGGACTTGGCAGGGATGGCGGAGGGTAGAAGCAGTCACTGTACATGCTGAGTTCAGGGGGCTCCTGGCCAAGGCTCGGGAACTGAGGGCCACAACGTGGAGGAGACTGTTCCTGGGCCTCAAATCCAGACATGGTCGAAGCAGTGTTTCTTCTTACCTTGAAGAGAGCTCCTCTAACCTTCAGTTTTCTTGACTGTTTCCCCGAGTTCTTTCTTTCAACTTGTTGAAGATAGTAAGCTGATCCAAAGGGAGTTATCTGTTCTCTTTGCTTGTCAGCTTTGCCCTTTCCTATGTTCAGTTGTCACCTGTCATACCTGCTATATCTATTTTCCTGGAAACGCCCCCACTCTCATTTGATTGGTTCTCTCCTTAGGTGAGTGAGTAGCCCTTCTTTTCCCTTGGGATTGTAGAGTTGCTCCAGGCGTTTTGTTCAACCTTGTCTTTTCTTAAAACTTAAGCAGTGACGTTATGACATTATTTTTAGTTATTTGCATTTTATTGCGCAAATACATCACATTTAAAATGACTTATTCCTTTAGATTAGTACATGTCCTTTCAACATGGAGATTTTGATATCAATGCAAATGTCACATTCCAACATGTGTATTATTTATGTTTGTTATGCTATTTATTTATTTTCACAAATCATTGATATGCTCTTATCCCGTGACTATACATCTCTGCCACACCGTTTGTTGTCTTTACAAAGACGATCTTATTCTGTTTTAACCAACACAATCAGGCATAAGAATTAACTGCACATTATTCTGATTGTAATTAGTAGTTAACGTGCTCTACATAGATAAAAGTTTCATATTTGCCATTTACTGAATATAAATAATGGTGAAAAAATGTTTTCAATTCCATGATTAAAATATTGAAAAGGTCTGTGTAATTTCTGTGTGTTGTTTTGCATTCAGAGGAATATTTTTTCCACATATCATGCAAGGCAATTGTTTGAAATTATGTAAAATTGTTATTGCAAATTTCCTAAAATCGTTTTGCAACTCTTGTCATTTGAACTTTATTTTATTGAGAACTTACATTAGGTGTCGTTTTTTTTTTTTTTTTTTTTTTAACACAGCGAAAGTTCCATGCGCCCACTGTCCACCATATTCTTAGCGGTCCCACTGCCCTGTTCGACAGCCTGACCAACCCTTGCCTAACGTGAGTTATTCGACATTATATTTTATTTCACTGTGCAATATTTATTATGAACCTGTTATTTAGGGGCAGATTCTGTTGTTTTCGCATTAAATGGTTGAAAAGACGAGGATATTGGTGAATCTAAAATGGCCTCGTAACCTAGCATCAAACATTTTCTGTTGGCTAGCATCGTTAGCGGCGTAATCCAAAACAACTGAACGAACGATGTCTCGCTGTCGCAAGTAATTTGTGGACCTGTTGGGCAGATGGCCGATCGTACATTGCCTCCTGGGGACCAAACGGGCGTCGAAAACTCGTTGGAACTCGACGGCCATTTGGAAAGAATGATCGAGGACATGGAAAACATATCTGGTGCGAAACATTTGAGACTTTTACTGAGTTACGTTGAAGTGTGGGAAATGTTGTCATAGTTTAATCGGCCAAAGCACAATTTAAACATTTTTTTTAAACTTTCAAAAACACCAACAACCACACTGCGTTTCTGTCCACCTACAGTGCAGCTGACATGGATGGCGTACGACATGTCGGCTCTGCGAACCAACCCCGAACTGTGGGATTCAATGCTGCTTCTCGAAGAGGCTTGTCAAAAAAGCTCAAACGCAGTGGCAGGGGGCGGACTGCAGGAACCCGCTCCCAATGACGCGCCACGCACTCAGATGTGAAGTTTTACAATCAATCAAGTTTTCAACAGCAGCGTCAAGGAGTCGACAAGTTTAAGTTCTAATCTGCATATTCATACTGCATGCATTTCACTGTAATACATTTGTTGCAGTCATTAAATGCTCATGAATTCAAATAAAAATACACATTCACATTACGAATATGGTCCGCCTTTGATTTATTACAACCAGTAATCATAATTGGTGTCATATAATTTCAAATTTAGTGGCGTGTCACATTCAGAGCAATTTCCTCGTGTTATTTTTCTTTTTTGATTTCCCCCCAGATGAATAACACAGGGACAAGCACTGAACGGTGTTGCTCAACCACCTGCGTTGATCTGGAATGTATCCTAAAAGGGTTGGAGTCGCTGTCTCATTGCATGGATCAACTGGCACGTACGTCTTTCTTAATAATGTCAGTAAAGCATCAATTATGTCATTAGGATCAGGATGACATTGATAATCGATTGTCAACTATGCAAATCCCAAAATGTTACAGTTTGCCCTCGATCTGCAATGGGATAGCCCCACGTGGATAACTGCTATGCAAGTTAGCCTCGCTTGGAGGTGTCACTGATGCTGGGTTGCATTGTTATACATGACACCTGTCAGATTGTAACCCGCTGGTGGGTTAGATAAAAGTAACTGAAGGTTTACTCAAATGGCTTATCCATCAAGCAGAATGTTGTGACTTGTTCTCTGCCGAAGGCGACAGTTACAGTAATAAAAATAAAGCGCACGATCAGTAAACGTGCCTTTTCTCCCTAACAGCTCAAATTAAAGAAGCCACAAGATTTGTTTAATCTCAAACGACCTTAATTCAATACGATTCTTTTTCAAACCATTTTAATAAACCTGTCACATGATGAAGTAAAAAAATAAAAACAGCTAATTTCATAAAAAAAGATCCTGTGTTCCCTGCTATTATTCATATATACACTCTCTAGCCACAACAATAGCGCGATGACGCTAGGCCATATCAGATCTGTGTCAAATGTGTAGTCATTACAATGATCAGAGGTTGATGGACACTGAGAGTTATTCATGCAACTATAGGAATATTATTGCGATTTTAGTTTATATAGTTGAAGCTTATCAAGAGATAAGCATACGGTAATATGGTGGGACATTATTTAGCTTTATCAATGCAAACAACAACCAATCTGTGTCTATCGAAACTGATCTGTGTTGGACATGTAAAGGCAGAATTTTCTTGGATTTGATCTCAGTAGATGATGCATGTGTACTTTACAGTATAAGGCCAATGAGTAATTGAATGGCAGTAATCAATCTGTTTCACAGTCTGCGTACATCTTTAAAAGTGTGCAACGCTCAACTTGTTAAAATTGATGATCTTTAGAAAGTCAGCCAGGTTTTGTTTCGCCTTCATTTATTTATTTTTTTGCCTGCAGTTCAAACCCAGCTCAGGCAGTGTGATCTGATCGTTTGTGTCGGCCACCCTGACAAGCTGGGACACCTGAAAATCCGGGAGGCGCCCCAGCAGGCGCCGCAAGCTTCTCCTGGAAACCATGTAAGAGAGCAGAGGTCATCCTCTAATAACTCAGTGAAGTCAACTAACAATCATGAGTGCAAAAGTAGATGCACTGGGTTTTTTTTTTTTTGCAAATATTATTTAACATTGTTAAAAAAATCATTGCAATGACCTTTGAAGAAATTAATTTATTTTGGGTTTTCTGGGCTAGATCCCATATATGGACATTTTCATCAAGTCCTCTTGATGCATGCATGCATGGTCTTGGCGCAGGACACAGTCCTGCACCTTTTGGCTTCAGGTTTCTGCGCTGTGTGTGTGTGTGTGTGTGTGTGTGTGTGTGTGTGTGTGTGTGTGTGTGTGTGTGTGTGTGTGTGTGTGTGTGTGTGATGGGTAATCATCTCCTCTACCCTGGGGAATCTTAAAAACACTAAAGCGCCCATAAAAAGTTAACTTGGACCTAATGATGCATTGCTCCACTCATCTTCGAGCATCAAACATTGCCTGTGGCGTGCACACTTTGCAGTTTGCATTGAGTGAACGGCCACAACGTTTTTCTCCTCGTGATCATGTTGTCATGTTTTACTCTCTTGCTTCATGATTTTTTGTGACAGGAGTGAAGCGATTCGGGTTGCCTTGCTTACTGATCTTAAGGCTAGAAGCGAGGCAATGTTTATAACAGTGACAGGAGTAAACAAATTGGGAAGCATCATGGTGTGGGAATGCCTACCGCACACACATAGTCGCACGAATAGAAACACACCTGGACTTTTGCATTTTTTTTCAATAAATTGGCTCTGTGTTTTCCTGCAGACAGAGGCAAAGGACGATGTGCATGTGTGCATTTCTTCTTCATACCAGTTAGGAGGACAACCTTGAAGCTACCATAAAACCACGACACCAAAAGGACGACATCGATTTAACGGTATGGCAAGCCAGGTATTCCACTTGGGTTCGAAACTGATCTCTGTTGTGGGATTCTTTTGACAACTCCCCCCTCTGCTGTTCGTTTTCTGAAAGACATGGGTGAAAGTGAGTGCATTGTGACTTACCTGTGCACTTTTTTTTTTTTTTTTAGTAAATTCGTATATTTCGTATAGTTTGTTTTGCAGGATGATCCCCATGCTCATTTTTGTGCTTTGTCATATCCTATGCGTGTAAATGAGTGTTTAATCTCAAACAAAACTCTGCATGTAGAAACAATAAAGCAGTTAAATCCCGAAGATTATTGTATGAATGGATTCAAACGAATGTGTAAATGCTGAAAAAAAACTGATAAAAAAAGCAAGTGTAATTTTCGTTTGGGAAATGAAGGACCGTATTTGAAACATTTCAAATGAGGTATATTGTTACAAGGTTAAAAAATTACCATCCATCCATTATCCGAGCCGCTGATCCTCACCAGGGTCGCAGGGGAAAACAGCTTGACATCATCACGTGTTTGTTTTTCTGGTGGTAATTGATAGTTCCGACTGGAAACTACTTGGGGTGTGACTAATAAACTGCTAAATCAATTGAAAGAGATGACCACTGCATATAAACATGATCTTTTAAAGACAGACAAAATAAACGGCTTGATTAAAAAGATATCTGTCGCCAAAAGTCTTACACTGACATCTATTGGTCATAGTTGGTATCGTCCACTTTTTTTTCTTGAAAGTCACTACATCGTCTGCAGTATCTTTTCTCTGTGTGATGGATTAAATCATGTTCAATTAGTGACATTTTGTGAAGCATATTACGTGTTGTGTGCGTAGCAATTAAGTTAATCAAAAGTTAACCTTTTACTCACCTGTAGTATCCTTATTCTTGATTTTTATGGGCTGTCATTATTAATGTACTAGTGACACATGACTACATGCACATGGCTCTTCTACATGAAAATCACTTTTGTGCTCATTCCCCTACCCGAATGTCCTCATCACAGACATTTTGTTTGGAGGTTGTGACCTTTTAAAAGTTGCAGTGTAGCGAGTGACTTCACCGTTAGTGTTGTCATAGAAACTGGATCTGATCGTTGTATTTCAAATCACAGCTTTGTCTAAATCCAATCTTGTAGCGAGACTTGTCTTTGTATCTCACACGTGGGTGATAGAGGAGGGCAGCTGGGGGGGGGGTGATCAATCACGGTGTGATCCACCCCCAAGACCCTCAAGTCTGTCTGGGTGAATACATGAGTCCTCCTGGGGGGTCTTTGTGAGGGCCCTCCATTCCCCTCTACTGTTATACTCTACTATCTTGATTTTGAGACGCACTCTACCGCTGCTAAAAGGCAGGATCTTGCCACCGTGGGGTCAACATGGAGCACGGTCTGATAATAGAGCAAATGTTGCTGTAATTGTGAAATACGTTTGACCACGTTGTGGAAAAGTGCAAACAATGACACAGGCTTCCCCCATTTGAAAAGAGTGTTAAATCTGGCCTTATTGGACAACAAGTTAAGTAAAGTAAAATGGTTGAGAACAAATGTGGTCATTTTGAGCAGACTTCAGGTCAGATTCCCTTTTGGTGTCAATGTGGAAGTAATCATGTATATCGCCAGTGGAGAGAAAGAGATAAGGGTTGGGTCGGAGAGGACCACCAGTGGGGCAAAGCCTTCATTAGTGCACAGCAGGACGGCATGGGAAATACGGGCCTTTCCCAGGAGCAAACAGGCAAATGGGAAGGATCAGGGGCTAAAAAGTTTCTTGTTTTCAGAGTCAATATTTTATTTTAGTGTTTTACTTTGGTTATTTTGTCCTTTCTTGCCTGAAACGGAAGCCCACTTTTTTCAGCCTTATTCATTGTGAAACTGTATATAATGCTGGTTTTGCTCATTTCTTGGCCCAAAGGTATGACAAAAATGTGAAAAAGACTCCTACCCCATCTGCCCCAAGGATGCACCCCACAAAGGAGGCAATACGTAGTCATGCCATCTTTCATTCAACTGAGACAGTGGCAGATTTATGACATGTCTAGCTGAGTGGAAGATTTTTAGTTGCGACAAGGAGTCGAAGAGGAAAGAAGGAGGTAAGTCATTGAACTATGGAAGGAAGTCTTATAGAACTTGCATGCAAGTGAAAGAATTGACACCAAAACAATTCCCTTTTCACTGCATAACTGTGAGTATGGTTTGTGCGCACGTTTACTTGGAGAAAATCGAGAAAATGTTCAGTGTCGGCCCCCCCCAACTCCATTTTGAACTTTGATGTATTGTGTTCCCCATTAGCATGCTCTGAATGTGGGATGTGACAACAAGACTGAGTTTGGCATCCTCCCAGATTATCAAGACACATGCCTGTCCTCCAGTGGTGCAAATCCTTGACTAATTTGTCTTTCAAAGCCGCCTGAGAACCAATTCAATACACATTGGCATCAAAGTGCTGCTGGATCAACACCTTGACAGAGGTGTCATCTGCACCATGTTATCCCTGTAATCCTCTGTTTAGTGTATTCACGCAATTCTAATTCTAATGCCCACAACTTACTTCCCTTGCAGGTTCTTATAAAATGCCTTGATTCCCAAGAAAAGCAATATTTATTCATTTGGCATGCAGAAACAACAACACAGTGCTTCCTATGTTGAACCATTTATTCAAAGGCGGAGACAAGTTAATATAAATACACGCAATGTGAAAGGATGATTAAAAAGTGCAAAGATGATGACAATTCAGACATCGGCCCTCATCAGATAAGACTGTCGCGCAACCTCGTCTTACTTGGGTCCACGGTGTCGGCGTCTGAGGGCGTGTCCTTCAGTGGCTGCACTCCTGGTGCAGACGTGTTTCACCACAACTTGGGAGCAGTCGTCACAGTTGACCTTGCAGCACCAGTGGAACTTACAGTTGCAACTGGTCACCACCTCCGCTCGCCTCTCCTCCACCCTCAGGCCGCACTCGTGGCACAGACGGCGGCAGCTTCTCCTCTCCCACTGTGTCAGGCCCTCGCCATGCTGCAAGCATTCCCGGCCTTCAGTGCCATACAGCCCGAGCGAGATGTTTCTCTTGCAGTAATCTGGGGAATCCTCCAGGTAGATGAGTTCGGTCTCGGGGACACTGCCAAAGGCGTCGACCAAGGCCCCGCGGCTCTCTGCACTGTTCCCTGCCCTTTTGCGCTTTTTGTCAATGTCCAGTTTTTGGGCTTGACTGTGCTTGACCTTTAAATAAGCGCCGATTCCTCTGAAGTCGGACAACTGCGACCAACACGTTTGGACGCTGCAGCTCTCAGACATGCCGTGACATCTGCAGATACGTTTCATGGTCGCCTTCACGGCCTGTTGGGACACCAGAAAGATGGCTTTCCCCTTAATTCCCTTCAATCAACCCATCAAGTTCATTCACGCTTTTCGTGTTCGCATTTAACTACAGTCAATACTGGGTTTTCTTAAAACGTTTTTTTTTTCCCCATTTTGATTTGATCTTATCACTCAGACACCCAGTCAAGCATCCATTTCGAGTGACAACGCTTACAAGACGTCCAGCTTGGTTGTTGTGCAGGTTGACAGCAGCTCTCGAGTCCTGACCACTCTCTTGTGCATCCACATACTGTTTGGAAATCCTCTCACCAAAATCCACGTTATCACTGCAGCCGCCCCACAGCCATCCTTGTCCACCTTGACACACAAAGCACAATTCAACTGAGGGGAACTTGTTTTCAACGAGCGGGGTGCGCTTAATTCCAACAGACTGTGATAAGCAACAATCTGTAATAACGTGATTACCAATTTTGCCATTCCTTGACACATCACAGCCACAGTTGTCAAGGTCTCCCATACTGCAGTTCCTGGTCAGAACGAACATGACTCCTGCAGCACTGATGGCATGGACAAATGACGTCTCACGAGTGGCTGAAAAGGACCATAGATGCATCATAATTATTTATTCGAATGACTTCTTTTTCAAGCCGGTCATTTAATTGGAAATATGCACTCACAGTGCATGAAAGTGTTGTGCAGTTTATCTCCCAAGTACCCCGAAATGTGTCTGTGTGGGGGTGGGGGGTATGTTTTTCCTGCAAATGCGTGACTCCACGTTTATAATCAGGCGTATTTTGGGAGGTCACCCACCGCGTCTCAGTCCCTTGAGCTGGACAGCGCTTTCTGGACAGTTCCATCTGTCCCACGTAAACTGGTGCTTGCACTCCTCGATGCCGCTCTGCGTGCCAACCTGCAGGCTTTTGGCGTAGGTAAGATAAGCCTGTTGGAGAGGCGAAGGCGCTTGTGTTCATTATTTGAGCTAATTTATTCCAAGTATCCCCTCTGCATTCACGTTGCAATCGTCGTTTACCTTGGAACCCGTCATCAAAAAGTTACCAGCAATCCTGGGAAGAAAATAAGATTATAGTTCCTTTCTCAGAGTACAAATAACGAAAAGTTGTGGTTCACTTACCAGGCGTGTACTGGGCACATCATGCAAAGAAAAGCAGGAAGAAGCCACGGCGTGTACGCCATTTTGACCAATTATCGACCGGCAAACTTATTTTGCGCCCGTGTTCTGCAGCTTAAGTAAGAAACAAACGGAGCCTTTGTGTCTTGTCCCCCAAGTGGCCAAAAAAGCTGATTGGATAACGGATTTAGGAAACGCCTATATGCGCACTTCAAAGACTTGGTGTTATAGGTGATAGTTTATTTTCCTTCCAAAGCTGCATGACACCAATATACAAGTGAGACCACCTTAGGACAAACAAGACGTGTTCATTTCATATTGTAAAAAAATATTTTATGAAGTCATTTTAATATACAACGTCACAGTTTGGAGAAAAAATTGACCAGGTATGCTCAACAAGCACAACGGTTGCGAATGAAGCTTTTTTTTTCAGTGATTGGTCTTCAAAATCCAGTGTATTACATGAAGTGCAATTCGACAGCATACAGAGCATATTAGGTTCGGAAAACCACATCCGTGCAGCGCAAAGCCGCCAATCAGTGTCCACGCTGGCGGTATTTTCGTTTTGCTTTGTTGTGTGTTTTTCTGGCACTTTCCTTGGGCGCGCAGTAGTATTTAGTGACGATGTGCGTGCATCTGTCACATTTCACCGTGCAGCACCAGTGGAATTTGCAATTACAGCTGCTGACGACTTCGGTGCGCTTCTCCGCCACTCGGAGGCCGCATTCGTAGCACAGCCTGCGACAGCTTTTTCTTTCCCACCGCGGCATGCTTTTGTCCCCCTTCAGGCACTCCCGTCCCTCGGTGCCCTCATAGCCGAGGCTCCGGTTCCTGACGCAGTAGTCCGGGGAGTCCTCGAAGAAAATGAGCTCCGTCCGCGGGATGTTGCGGAAGGCGTGCGTAATGGTGCCTCTGTTATCTGCGCTGTTGCCAGCCTTCAGCGGCCTCTTGTCTACTTCCAACTTCTTGGCTTGAGAATGCTTATTTTTCAGGTAAGTGCCCACCTCTCTGAAGTCGGCCAGCTGCATCCAACATGTTTGGATGCTGCAGCTTCCAGACACTCCGTGGCATTTGCAGGCTCTCCTCATGGTGGCTTTGATTGCCTAAAAGAGACAGAAAAATCATCCTCTTAAGTTGAAAAGATGAAACGAATATTTTTGCCTGCGGGCTGTGTTTATTCATCTGCATTAGTAATTCAATGTCTACCAATCTCCCGGCTTCGTTGTTATGCAGGTTGACCGCAGCACGAAAGTCGTGACCATCTTCCAATGCGTCCACAAACTGTTTGGAGATCTTTTCTCCAAACGCCACGTTATCACTGCAGCCTCCCCAAATCCACCCTCTGCCTCCTGAAGATGAATAAAAATAGTAATACACCATAAAGACCACCCCAAAAACCCCAGTGATACTTAATAATTTGATCAGAATGTCTTTTTGCGCGTCATACCTGTCTGTCCTATTCTGGAGTCATCACAGCCGCAGTTGTCAAAGTCTCCCATGCTGCAGTTCTTGGTGAGAGTATGCATCACCCCTGCAGCGCTGATGGCATGGACAAAGGATGTCTCTTTTGTAGCTACGAGAAGTCAGGGTATCAAAAAACCAAATTAGACTTTGCAATTAATTCACGCGCATGGTTACTCCGTGCGTAATGTGTGCGTAAATTACAACAGTCCCGTGCAATGAGTGCGTAACATGGAGTTCAGCTCCACCTTGGAGACGCTTATGGTGGGAATATTTTGCGCAAGTAGTGTCGTACTTATGACTGTCAGCGTGTACAATTTTGATTATTTCAAAGAGATAAGAGCCGCTTGGCAGCCTGCGACGCTTGAATTTCTCATCGCCGTCTTCATTGCCAGTGCTTGTTCGACTTGTTGAAAACGAAGAATTATTTCTTACCACTTCGGTGGCCGTTATGTGTGGATAGCTGAAGCGTACTCTGTGGACAGTTCCATCTGTCCCAAGCAAACTGGTGTTTGCACTCTTGTATTCCACTCTGCGCGCCCACTTGCACGCTGCCAGCGTAGGTAAGAAAAGCCTGAAGGGAGCGAGACGGGATTCAATTTCAGCCAAATGCGAGATCATTCATATTATTTGTCTGATAAAGTCGTTCGCTGAATTTGCATAAATCACCGCGTGGTGTGTTTACCTTTGGTCCACTCATGAGGAAATTATTCACCGTCCTATGAAAAGAAAATAGTCATAGAAATCAGTCCAAATTCAAATGCCAGCAAACCTAAGATTTAAAGTAAGTCCTTGGAAAAGTATAAGTGACAGACCAAGTGGATGCGGACTGCAAAACACAACTCGTGTAGAGAACCGTCACAGTAAGCAGCGTCAAGTCTCCCATCACGATGATTGAAGTGCTAACGTCGGTTTATTCGAGTCCCAGATGAGAGAGGCAAAAAGAGAAGAGTCAACTCAAGGTGTACCCCAACCTCCACGCTGATTTTATTTATATGGTGGTGGACCCTTTGATTGACACATTTGTCGAACAAGTAACGGTCCACTGTGAAAAAGACGACAGTGATGGTCTCGGCCTGTAGACAAATAGGAGCCGTCCTCGCACAAGTGCACTTCAAAGAGAGAACGCAGACACTTCAACAACCCCTCATTAATTCACCTGCATCGATCTGGTCCCGGGCCCTTTCCCACCAAGTGACGACGTGTAATTACTTTATAAATTCGCATTAAAATTCAATATCATTGGAAATATCCCTCGCAAATATTTATAACACACAGACGATGGTGAATACACTAATTAAATTATAAGATTTGAAATGATGCACGTAGCCTACAAGGTGATGGTTTTCCTCCCCCTTTTTTCCCCTCCAGGTTTGGGAAATGGCACCAGTGTCCCACAGGGCACACGGTGACGACAAAGCCATAAAGTCTTGCAGGAGCTGAGCCTATATAGTCATGTAAATACTTCTTCACACATCGCCGACATTGGCATCTTGGTGATAATAGGATAATAGATGTTTCCTACCGAAACAACCTGGTGTGAAAACAGTCTGGAATTTACGACGGTATAAATCCATGAGAGCGTAATTGCGGAAAACATGCAGGTTGAGCTTGGAGTTGGAATCGAATAATAACAGAGACAACGTCCGGTTCTGAAAATCAACATTGAGGAATGTAAATCAGTTTATTCACCCCTTCTGATTATTTGCGTGATTTATCTTAAAATGACTGCAGTCGGTCATCGACATTCAGCGCGTCAGTTTTTGTCATTTCTTTGCGTCATTCGCCTTGAGACACGTTACCCAATATATTAACATTCGATTTCGACATGTGCTCCTCGTGTCCAAAATCCCCCAATAAACCACTCAAAATTGCCGACAATAACAACGAACTCAGCGTGTAGAACAATGGACGGGCGAATGGGCGAGAACATCACCACAATAGAAAAGATAAATAGATGAAGGATAATCCCTATAATTAGACATCGGCCACAACATTGGCATTCATTCCGACACATGACTGAAACCACAGATGCACTCCGGACCGAGATAGGATATATTACCGGCTAATTTAAATCCACCCGCCCTTAATTAAGGGAGCGCTTAACAATTTTAATGGTTAATTAATGTGCGAAGAGTGTTCTAAATATATGGGCGTCTTATTGTATTGGTGCCATCGAAACTATCCTGACGAATTACGTGGGCAAATGTGACATTCGCCTTAATTTTGGATGTTGTAACATCCAAAATTAAGGCAACAATGTAAACAATTGTAAACAAAAACAACGACCAAACCATGCAGTTTCTGAGTGAATCTACTTGTCCTGAGAGCAAATGTAAAAAAAAAAAAAAAAGATGAACTAATGCTTGAAAATAGTTTCCAAAATACCAAATAAATCCAAATGTTACTTCCTAAAATGCCATTGTTCTCTTGTTCCACCCACCAAATTGAATCTTAAAGAAAACAGTTACAATTAAATTTACATTTCATTTTCTAATATTTTATTTGTATTTTTTAACTGCTGTCTCTTGTAACTGTGGGAACATTTGTTTCGACAAACATATTTTAAATAATGACTATTTATGGAATGTGTGTCCCACAACATGCACGCAACCCTGTTACCATCACCTTTTTAACATGGTAGAAGAGGAAAAAGTGAATCACATGATTTACTCGACTTGACATCATTCAACAGTTTTCCAAAAGAATAGATAAAGCAAAAGTGTTTCCTCTCATCTAGTTTTCACATTTTTATAAAATAATTCACCTTGATTAAATGTCCCACTCTACCTTATTCATATGTTATGCATATGACCAGAATAAGACAATTGTTCAAATGTTTTCTTTCCTTATTGAAGTAAATTTGTCCTCTTGCTCAGCAGTAAGAGTTAGCTAAAAAGCCAGGTTCTACTCCAGAGAATAAGATGGCATTCGTTCGGATTTGCAACCCTGTTACCGTGATTTCAGTGATAGGTAGTGTAAACACCAAATAAATCATATTATTTAAAAAAAAAATACCATTGATCTCAACTGAGGTACTCAAGCCTTTCATAATTTATTACCTATTATGCATACATCAGTAGTACTCTGTTGTTGTTTTTATTGGTGCTGGAACCAGTTTTAGGACAATGATTAGTTTTCAGTACTGTATATCATATTTATATCATCATTTTAATTGAATTTCCTAGTCTCTTGTACAGTATATGATGTTGATGATTTTGTTGTTATTGGTAGCACTTGTACGACTATTAGGGTATTGCTGGCTTTTATTTATCTTTGTTAATCATTTTATTTTTTCATTCAAAAACCTCAAGCATATCATTTGTGTTAAATCTCAATGATGTCAAATAGGGGGCAACATAATGAATTACATTTTAACAAATTCTATGGGCAAATTCGGGGATCGTGTACTGGATGTATACGACGATGGCAGATTTATGGAGACGTAAGGTGGGAGAAATAGAACCACGAAAGCACATGGGTGACAGCCTTCTTAGGGACCGGAAGGGGTGTCATGACTGGCAACGACAGTTAGCGACTAAGATTTAAGGCTATCATATATCTGTTATGGGGGTTTCAAATAGCCTTGATGTATTCACATAACACAAATAAGTCGTCTCAAAGGCAGAAATGCAATCAAGTAATACTCCACAACTGCTGATTATTCATCTGCAGTTTAATGACATTTTTAAAGTACTGTACTGTAATGTGGCGTTGACAGCAACAAACTTTTCCCACTTCGGAATTTGCATTTATCGCAAGGCTGAGGTTCACGATGCAGCAACCACTCATCAAGAAGGTGGTTGCTGGGAGTCAGAGTTACAGTGTCTACCCACTTGTGTGTGCGATTTGACAGCTTTAGAATTTGCTGTTCACATTCATTCTATCTATGATGTCTGGGACTGCAGAAAATGTACAGGAGACTGACAAAATACATATGAGCATTAGGTTCCACATCTTGATATTTATTTCAAAATGAAAAGTAAAAAATTATTAAGAAAACATCCTTGATAGTTTGGCTCCAATGGTTCTCCTTTTTTTACGAGACCTCCCCACCCCCATCCACTCTTGGCCTGGTTACCCGCCTCTTTGACGCTACATCACAACACCACTCACCAGTTTGGCAATATTGGTGAGCTGTTAGCTACAAGCTAACAGAATGAGACAGGCAACCAGGCTATCGCTTTCCTCTCAAGGGGTAAAGAGACCCCATGTAAGGGTAAAACCCCCTGGGAGCTCAGCGCACCCTTTTTCAAGACCAAAGTAGGAGATTTGAGTAGTGTAATAATTAAAAGAAAGTGCATTTTGCCGTGGCATCCCAGCTTCTTTTCTTCATGTGCTTAGTAGTCAAGGTGTGGCATCTCCTTTTCTCTCTTGCTCAATAGCTGCAAAAAAGGGGGCAGAAAAAATGGACAGCATCACACCAGGAGACAGGAGAGTTCATTCGGTTCATTACTTGCATCCGGGGTGCAGTGAACAGAATCTATGAGGTGCATTGTTTCGGAGAATAATGGCCGGAGACTCACTCTCTTTGGTGGGCAGAGGGTTTTTTTCTTTTGTCTCAGTCTTCTTCAGCTTTGTCTTGTCAAAACGGGAAATCTCAGTCATATCAGGCTTGTCGGACATTTTGACTGTAAAGAAAAAAAAAATCACCTCAGCATTTGCCGGATCAAGTCAAATATTCAACTGATTTTTTTTAACCTTAGGAAGTGTTATATTGCTTTGAAAGATGATCACAAGAGTTGACAAATTTGTCAGTGGCTTTGAATGACTCAAAAAGGAGCATCTGAAGTGGTTGCATGCGAAGGGAGTGGCATTGCGCAGCTAACGTGTCCACATGGATGCCTGAGTGGAAGCAGCTTCCATCATGATGCACACCCTCCTCATGTAGCACTGCGTGCCTCGTTTTACTCAACCGGCGACACTTTCCTTTGTCTCTGTTTTTCCTTCTATGAGGCCCAAGTCTTTGTTCTGTCCCTCTGCATACACCCCCTGCAGTCCGGCTGTGCTCGACTGCAGTCATTTTCCCGACCTAGCCTCAGGTCTGACGTGTCCTATGGCACAGTCACGCCTGTCCTACCCTCATTGCGCTGTCAACAAGCCTGCCACACAATTCCACCAAGTAGAAATTGGTCTAGTCACATGACTAGATGTTTTAATCTTGAGTGTCAAAGCCATCTGGATCATGACACTAATGATAGCTACACCCACCTTTGCCAAGCCCTGATCAGAGCATCTTCTCAGTTCAATTAACTAATGACCCAAACACTAATCCCCATTCTTACTTCATCACCATGTGCATAACCATTCCTGTGCTCATCTTCTTTCCCTTGCTGCCATCAGCAGGCTGCCTTCGGTGCTCCAGCCACACCCCAATCCTTTGTCTGACTCCCAGTGACAAGCAATCCAAAGACTCACACAGGCACACGGAAGTGAGTTACACGCTGGAAAACACAATGCACGTTCTTACCGAGGTTTCACGCGAACAGCGGCCTCAAATCCACCGGCGGAGAGGAGAGTAAGGAAGGGTGGCGTTAAAGAGAGTGAGAGGGGAGCTTGAGTGTATCTGCCGGTGAGTGCACGCTTGCCTGTATCCAGGGTGTGGGGTATTAAAGGGAGGGAGGGAGTGGGAGAGTTACAGAGAGAGAGAGAGAGGGAGAGAGAGAGAGAGAGAGAGAAAGAGAGAGAGAGAGAGAGAGAGAGAGAGAGAGAGAGAGAGAGAGAGAGAGAGGGAGAGAGGGAGAGAGAGAGAGGGAATGACTCAGACCTGAGTCAGTCTTCTTCTTTGGCATCAATATTAATGCTCTTATGGGTGAAAGATGAGAGTCATTGTGTGATGTTCAGTCTATATATCAAATTCATTATAATTTTGGACAGCATCACAAGTAGTCAGAAATGGTTTTCTTTTTTATTTTAAATTAACACCATTTTTATTCTGAAAGTCATTTCTCTCATATACGTTTCACAGAGACTATTGCCACGGGTGGTAGTTATCATAGGTGGCTCTTGATTATATTCATTGAAAGAAAGAAATAAAACATTACAGTGCAAAACATTGCAGTAAACAAGTAAATAGAATATTCAATATTAGCAGATGAAATTACTCAGGGGTAATCAAAACTTTGAGTCAATGTTTTAATGGCTTTTATTTTAAGGTGTGGGTTGCAGTCAAAGCAAATAATGTTTTTGATCATTTATTATTAGTTTATTTTTTTTAGAGAATTCAAAAGATTGTTTTTGAGTGTAAATGTCATTGGTAGGAAAAAAAATAGTCTGTTTGAGTTGATCATGGTGTCTAATTTGAGAGACATTTGTCAAATCCCTGATTTAGTGTCTGATAGCAGCACTTGATTACATCAGACTTTGATAGAACAGTGATGATGAGAGCCCGGAATTGTCCCTATCGCTGAGCTCATGAAACATGGGAGTTGCCCCACTTAATCTTCCCAAGGGTTCACTGCATGCTGGTTGTTGCCAGTTAGTGAGGGCACTTGCCGGATATATAAGCCACTCTCATAATACGTATCGGGGTGAGTCAACGAAACCCTCACCCTGTGAGTTTGGCCAGCATGTGCATTGCTATTCTGGCACTATTTACGAGATGCCCTTTGGAATGCATTTGACAACAGCGCCTCGTTGTGGTCATGATTAGTAGGGTGCTCCTTCTTCAAGACGCAGCCTGACACCTGCTGGTCAAATGTTGGAACTGCACGTTTTAACCGGGCTTTCATTCAAGAGGACTATGACGAGACAAAAAGTGATCTGAAATCGTCATCCTCTTTGCATGGAACCTAATATAAAATGAGCCTAAGTTCTAACATACATTTCATGTCGTCTCTACAACAACTCACATTATAAATGTCAAGTCAAGTCAGTTTTATTGTCAAATATGCTCGATGTGCAACATACAGCACAGATGAAATGTAACCTCACTTCAAATATAGATTCGACCGTTTTGGTGAACAAAGTTCTTATTTTATTAGATTTTATTGTACTTTATTATATTTATTTGTACTGTATTCTATTTTCAATTTTACTCATAATCCCACACGGAGAATTTCAACTCACATCGCTGTATATCAGTGGCGAATGCTGGTCTGTCGGGGAGGGGAAGCTCAATTTCGGCCTACATCATAAAATGTGTCCGTTTATTTATACGTGAATTCTACTCTCCGTTCCTTTTCCAAAAAAATGAAAAGGATGCTTTCACCATAAGATCATTGGCTCATTTCGCTGTCAATCAAAAAGGATCAGCCTCAGCGAGATCGTCCAATCATCATGAAGAAAAGCTGAGCTGCTGCACGCCCACTGCCCGTTGACTCCCAGAGACGCTGAGCGTCCAATGGGCGGGACAAAACCAGCAATTACCCAATGACTTGTCTCGCTTTGAATGCATTGGGACAACCAAACAAACAACTCTCTCGACGCCCAGCGTCTGTGCGGTCGATGCTCAGCGTCCACACAGTTTAAAGCGCAGTGAAGCTGTGGGAATGAATGAGAAGAGATTCCCGTTGTAACCAGTAAAAAGAAGCTGATTCTGAACAAAGGTTGAGCACGTTGTAGCGCATATTTAGTCAATGACATGTCCACACAATTGTATGTACACACATATATTTGATCACTTACTTTTCGACATTTTAGGGGAAGCTGAGCTTCCCTTGCAGTCTTAGAGCAATCGCCTCTGCTGTATATGTGTGATGTGCACCATACAGAGAACTAGATGGCTTTTACTCTCAGCCAATGATGATGTGAATGTGAGTGGAAATGGGTGATTGTTTCTACAAGTAGTCTTCCTTTTATCTGCAGTCAGTTGAGTTATGCTTGAGCTTCCAGCAACTTTGAACTGGATATGCAACAAATAGACAGAAATGTCTTTCTGACCATCCATCCATCCATCCATCCATCCATCCATCCATCCATCCATCCATCCATCCATCCACTGCTGCTTATTTTGTTAGGGTGTCGGATGATCTAAAGCCGATCCCAGCTATTCAAATTCTCATTTAGACATAAGGGCAATTGTGAGTCTTCACGAAACCTACTATGCATATTTTTTTGGGAATGTGGAAAGAAGTACACAGGGCAAACCCACTCAGGTAATGATAGAACAAGCAAACTACAAACAGAAAGGTCTAAGATGAGATTCAAATCCAGAGCCTCTCGAGTGTGAGGTAGACGTGCTAACTAAATGGTTCACCATGAAGCCCCGGGTCGCATGTTATAACATTTCACAGATAATCAAAAAACACAAAAGACATAAACTGACAATAGAGCCGATGGACATTGAATAATGTAGTTTTGTGCATGATAGAGGCTTGTGCAAACACTTTGAGCAGGTTGGGGTTCAGCTCAGGCCCAAATGCACAGAAATGTCTGACCGTCACAACCGTCATCACTCACTCTGAGTCGCTATTCAAACGGCGCTTGGGCCCACTTGACATGTCAAGACGACACACTTCTTGGAGAGTTTGGACTCCGTATGCAAAAGAGAAGTGCGATGATGTACAAACTATCATCGAGCTCTCCACAAATGATCAAACGCCATGACTTGAACAAATTTGTGGTGTTTGACATTTTGCATTGTAATTCCAATTTTGATCCCTTCTTAACCTTTAGAATCGTTACGGAAGAAAATGACGTCCTCAGGGATTTTCCGTTCCTCACACATTTTAATAAAACATCATGCATATTAGATTCATTGATGAAAATTTACATTTAGTTTATATGTTCCCCACGACTGACTGGAAACCAGTGCAGGGTATTAAAAAAAAGTCAGCTGGCTTTGGCTCAAGCTCACTCGTGACCCTGAACCAGGTAAATGGTCCAAAAGCAGACATCGCATACAACAAACTGATTTGGCAGGAATATGTCCATGAACATGTGCTATTGAAGAGGACATTTTTTATTTATTTATTTATTTTTAAACGGTGAACAAAGTGTATAAAATTTGGGCAACTCAAGTACACCACACATTAAGTGGTGTGTTGTTAGCGATGGAGCAGTAAACACACAGACTATGGTGATTCCCCCCCCCCCCCTTTTGTGTTGGGTCACTCATATTTTAAAACAGTGTTAAAAATCAATATACGTGGACTCAATTTGAAATAGATGTTGGATTCTCAATTATATTTGTAGTCAATGCAAGATAAACCATGTGGTTGCTTGGCATGGTACTTATCCTTGATGCATCACATAACACGAAGAGACGACCAATTCTAATCCGTGAGTTACAAATCATAGATTGAGTTCCTATCTTGTTTGCAAAGTCTTTGACCTTCAGAATGGACCTCAACCTTCCTGTTAACCTTTTTGTGTGAAATGTTAACAAACTGGTTGGTTCCTGACTGACAAAGGTCAATGAAAAATCTGGCAGGTCGGTCTGACGCGAGAGCTTGCTGATGGAAAATAATATTCTCCTGACCCACTGTGTGTATCGATGTCTCGATGCTGCTGTTTGAGAATGTCAAGATGAATATATATTTATTTTTATTTTTTTCACACTGAAAAGGTACCTGGTTCAGGCCTTCCTGTGTGGAGTTTGCATGTTCTCCCCGTGCCTGTATGGGTTTTCTCCTGGTACTCCGGTTTCCTCCCACATTCTAAAAACATGCATGGCAGCCTGATTGAACACTCAAAATTGTCCCTTGGTGTGAGTGTAAGCGCGGATGGTTGTTCGTCTCTGTGTACCCTGCGATGCCCTCCCTGCGATTGGCTGGCAACCAGTTCAGGGTGTCCTCCGCCGAATGCCCGAAGACAGAGAGAGAGAGAGAGAGAGAGAGAGCGAGAGAGAGATTTTTTTGAGAACCATTGATGTACTATGAATGTACGACTGCATGATTAGGGTTATGTATAAAAAAATAGCCACAAGATGGCAGCATCATGCCTTTTATGTAACGAACCTCATACTAACTGATCCAGGTTCACAATTTTAGCCCCAGTAATAATGCATAGCTGTGCAATGTTGGTTTCATAAAGTAAATCAGGTTTTGCCAAAAGCTAGATGCGATAGAAGCTGTAAATATTTACTTTCTTGTGTTTCCAATGAAAGACAAGGCTACATCCCTTTTGTCAAAACTGATGCCCTGAAGGCATATTTACAAATATGTCTATATGTATGTGTGTGGTAGGCATATTGTGGATACTTTGGAGAGTGAGCATGTTTTTTTTTCTGCTTGCTTGCATGGAAAGTTTTTGTGTACTCTGCGTTTTTCCCACTTTGCAGAACAAGCATGTCGGGTTCACTGAAGACTCCAATTTGACGATCGGTGTGAGTATGAAAGCTTGTTTGACCAAATGTGCCCTGCAAATGGCTAGAGGCAAGTTGTACTCTACCTCTTGCTCAACGTCAGTTGGTATAGGCTCCAGGTAACCCAAATGTGGACAATCACTATTTAAAAAAATGGGTGTGTGGTCCCAATGAAGACAAGGAAATCTCAGAATCAATGATAATCATAAGTGATAAACAACACGCTTCAAAATCACTTATGGCTTAAATAAATTGTCATTTCTAGTGCTAGGTACACGGTGTCATGGCTAACAAACATGCATTAAAAGCAGTCTACAACAATCTACTGTTCACGCAAATACG